CAGCTGTTCACAATGTCCATTAACAATTTGGATGAAGGAACTGAATTCAACATCTCCAAATTTGCAGACGACATTAAGCTGGATGGCAGTGGGTGTCGTTAGGAGGTTGCTTAGAAGCTGCAGGGTGACTTGGACAAGTTGGTTGAGTGGGAAAATACTTGGCAAATGCAATATAATGTGGATAAATCTGAGTTATTCATTTTGGTGGCAAAAACACAAAGGCAAATTATTATTTGAAAGGTGGAAAAACAAGACCTAGGTGTAATGGTGGAACAGTCACTGAAGGTTGGCATGCAGGTGCAGGCGATGAGGGAAGCTTAACTAGAGGAGTACTGGAATGGGGATACCTTGCTTCAATTATACAGGGCCTTGGCGAGGTCACACCTTGAATATTGTGTGCAGTTTTGGTCTCCTTGTCTGAGGAAGGATATTCTTGCTTTTGAGGGAGTCCAGCGAAAGTTCACCAGACTGATTCCAGGATGGCAGGACTGATATTTGAAGGAAGACTGGATTGACTGCGCTTGTACTCACTGGAATTAAAAAGAAAGAGGACGGATCTCATAGAAACATATAAAATCCTGATGGGATTGGACAGGCTGGATGCGGGAAGAATGGTCCCAATGTTGGAAGTCCAGAACAAGGGGTCACAGTTTAAGAATAAGGGGTAAGCAGGGCAGGACTGAGACAAGGAAGCATTTCTTCACTCAGAGAGTTGTGAATCTTTGGAATTCTCTACCACAGAAAGCTGTTGGGGCCAGTTCATTAGATACATTTAAGAAGGAGCTGGATGTGGCCCTTGCGGCTAAATAGATCAAGGAGTATGGCGAGAAAGTGGGAATGGGATACTGAAATTGCATGATCAGCCACGATTATATTGATTGGTGGTGCAGGCTACAAGGGACAAATGGTCCCTGGACCTATTTTCTATGTTCAACGCAAGGAGTATTAAAAACAAAGCAGATGAACTAAGGGCACAGATATATGGTAGCCTGATGTTTTTGCTATAATAGAAATCTGGTAAAGGATGGGCAGTATTGGCAGATCTGTATCCCTGGATATAATGGGTGACAAAGTGGGCAGGGGTGATAGCAGTATTAGTTAAAGAGCCAATTATAGTTGTAAGAAGGGATGGTATACTCAGTGGGTTAACAAATGAGGTTTTATGGGTTGAGCTTATGAATAAAGGGGTAGTAGTCACTCTACTAGGAATATATCACAGACCCCCAAATAGTGAGGAGGAGGTGGATGGAAGAACATTAATGTAGATGAATTTCTTCCTGTTGGGCTATAGTAGTAGGAAACCATCCCAAAATCAATGGGGTTTCAAACAATATATGGAACACTTGAAGGTGAAAAATGCATGTAGTATACCCAGGAAAATGTTTTTGAACAACTTAAACAAGAGAATTAATTCTGGGTTTAGTTTTAGGAAATGAAGACGGGCAGTAGGTGACCATGTTGGATAGTGACCATAATTTGGTTAGATTTAGCTTCCTTGTGGAAAAGGTCAGATAAATCAGGAGTAAGTTTTTAAACCCACGGGAAGGCAAATTTTACAACACTGAAATGATTTAGTCGAGGTGAACTGGACAGGACTGAAAGAATAAATCAGTGGTAAAAAGTGAGATCCTTAGGGCACAAAGCAGACATCTCCCCTCCAGAAATCTGAATAGTTCTGCCAAATCTAGACCTCCATTTAGTCTACAAAAATACAGGGAAAGATTAAAAAGAAAAAGAAAACTGATAGTCATAAAAAACTCAAACACTGCAGATTGCCTAGAGGAGTACATAAGAAGGAAATAAGGAAATAAAAGAGCATGAAAAAATATTTTCAAGCAAGATAAAGGAAAACCCTAAGATCTTTTACCAGTTTATAAAGAGCAAAAGGACAGTTAAGGAAAATATGACCTATCAGAGATGAAGGAAATTTTAAGATACAGAGGATATGGGAAAAAGTTTGAATAACTTTTCATCTCCATATTCACAAATGAAAGGGATCATGAAGGCATAGTAATCCAAGAGGAGCACTGTGAACTATTAGACAAAATAATCATAACAAGGAAGTAAGTGTTAAATGAATTCAAATCCTTAAGTGGATAGTCACCAGGGCTGGATGTTGAAGGAGGTCAGAGAGGAAAATAGCAGATCCTCTGAGGATTATTTTCCAATCTTCACTAGGCAGGTGGAGTGCTGGAAAATTAGAGGAATGCAAATGTGATTCTTTTGTTTAATAAAGCTAAAAAGGAAATGACAATTATAGGCCAGTTAGTCTTTCTTCAGTGATGGGCAAATTGTTAGAATCAGTCCTGAGAGATTGCATATACTGTCACTTGGAAAGGCGTGGACTGAACAGGGATAGTCAGCATGGCTTTGTTAAGGGAACATCATGCCTTACAAATTTGAATGAATTCTTTGAGGAAGTGACAAGGAGGATCAATGAGGGTAGTGCAGTGGATATTGTCTACATGGATTTCAGTAAGGCATTTGACAAAGTCCCACTTGGTAGACTGGTTAAAAATGTAAAAGTCTGTGTGATATAGGGTAATGTGTCGAATTGGATCCAATGTTAGCTTAGTAACAGGAAACAAAGGGTAATGATCAATGGCTGCCCTTGGAAATGGAAAGCTGTTTCAAGTGGTATTCTGCAGGGCTCAGTGTTTGGCCCCCAACTTTTGTTTTATACACTATCTGTTTAGATTGGAACATGGGGGCACAACTGTAACTTGCAGACAACACGAATTCTGTGTAGAGAATAGCTGTAAGATCAAATGACAGATGAGTTCATGGAGTGGGCAGGCAAGTGGGAAATGGAGTTCAACTCCAAGTGCCATTCTGGTCACCACATTGGACAGAGTACAGAGAAGATCAATTAGAAACAAAAACAGAAGTTGCTGGAAGCTCAGCAGGTCTGGCAGCATCTGTGAAGAAAATATCAGAGTTAATGTTTCAGGTCCAGTGACCCTTTCTCAGAACAGATCAATTAGAACGTTGCTAGGGCTGGAGAATTGTCTGAGGTGATTGAAGAGGTTGGGGTTGTGTTTTCTTGGAATAGAGAAGGCTAAGGAACAACATGATTGAGGTATACAAAACTGACGTGTAGGGAGAGTAGACAAAATGAATCTATTTCCCTTGGCAGAGTGCAAAAACCAGGGGTCATAGATTCAAACTAAGTGGTAGAAGTATTAGAGAGGATGTGAGGAAAAACCTTGTAAGCGAAGGTGCCTGGAATTTGCTGCCTGAGATCGTGTTGGAGGCAGAGACCCTAAACTATTTTTTAAAGGGGAGGGGATAGCCTAATGACATTATCACTAGACTATTAACTCAGAGACCCATGTAACGTTCTGGGGATCTGGGTTCAAATCCCACAATGGCAGATTGAATTGAATTCAATAAAAGTCTGGGATTAAGAGTCCAATCGTGACCATAAAATCATTGCCCATTGTTGGGAGGTGGGGGAACCAATCAGTTTTGCTAATGTCCTTTCGAGAAAGAAATCTGCCTTCTTACCCAGTTTGGCCTACATGTGACTCCAGACCCACAGCAATGCAGTTGACTCTCAACTATCCTCTGGGTATTTAAGAATGAACAATAAATGCTGGTTTACCCAGTGACGTTCATGTCCCATGATAGTATCATAGAATTAGCACAATCCCTAGAATGTGTAACCAGGCCAATCAGCCCATCAGGTCCACATGACCCTCAGAACATTCCACCCAGACCTAACCCCTATCCTATATTTGTAACCATGCATTTCCTATGGTGGAGGCAATTGGAGACTGGCATTTAAAACTGGCTCAGCCAGCAATACCCACATCCTGCAAGTGAATAAAAAAATTATATATTTTGTTATGGTTCCTCCTTGCTCAGGTCCTGAAGTGTAGGCAGGGAGATCAAATCCTGGGATGAGGTATAACTGGACTCCTTAAACAGTGCACTAAGTTCATAATTATTGCTAAACACCCTCCCTAGCTACAGAATGCCAAATGTCTCTGCCTCACCAGCACATTTTTGGACAAATTAAAAAAAAACATACTTGGATTTGTACCTTAAGAACTGTAAACTGCAAGGCTATGGGCCATGTTTAGGAAGATATGGTTTGAAAGGGAGTCTGGGTGTCTTTGGGTAAGTACGCACAAGACTGGGCAAAAGACCCCATTTTTGCTGTATCATTTTTGTGGTTCCATCTAGAAGGACACGGCAGCAGATACATGGGAAAACCACCACATGCAAATTCTCCTCCAAGCTACTCACCATCCTGACTTGGAAATATAATCACCATTCCTTCAGTGTTGCTGGGCCAAAATCTTGGAACTCCCTCCCTAACAAAACTGTGTGTATATCTACATTGAATAGACTGCAGTGGTTCAAGAATACAGTTCACCTTACCTTTTTGAGGGCAATTGGAGACTGGCATTTAAAACTGGCTCAGCTAGCAATACCCACATCCTGCAAGTGAATAAAAAACTATATCTTTTGTAATGGTTCCTCTTTGCTCAGGTCTTGAATGTAGGCAGGGAGATCAAATCCTGGGATGAGGTATAACTGGGCTCTTTAAACAGTGCACTAAGTTCATAATTATTGCTAAACACTCTCCCTAGCTACAGAATGTCAAATGTCTCCAGTGATACAAGAATAATTCTTAAAAATAATATTTGATTTCACTATTATTACAACAATGGAAAAAATGTTCATGCTTTAAGTAAGCATAGAGACGTTTAATGAGAAAACCGTTGAGTCTTTCTTACAAGATGAGAAATTACATGCTTAGCTCTTGAATTTGATGACCAGTTATCTGATTAGAATATAATTACAAAAGTAAAATTTATGCTCAAAATCTCAGGACTGAATATCCTATGTGGAAATAGGATATTTATAAATATTAACCAATAGATCATATCCTCTGGAAGAATTTTGGAGTACTATACAGATTGCAAAAGAATAAGGCAGTTTCCACAAAAATAAAAGCAAAAGCAGTAAACTTGATACACACCAGACTCTGATTCAAAAGAGAAAGTTAACTACTTATTTATTCTAAAAATGTGTGTAAAACTCTTTGATGAGATAAGGCCATTTTACAAATGCATTTCATTCCTTGGTCAATTTTAGATCAGCAATAATTTGCAGCTTACACCTTGTGTACAAAGTGAAAAATTCAATAAAACCAAATAAAAGCAACTATATAAATGGAGTTTCAGAATATAAAGTTTAAAATGCCTTGCAAATAGTCATAAATCAACTTTTAATTTAACACATACATATTCATCACCTTTCCTGAGTTAATATAGGAGTGGGGCAAGTTGGTTTGATCACAACTGATCGATTGCTTCTGACTTAAGTCTAACCACCTGCAAAATCCAGCATGTACAAAGATTCAGTTTTGTATGTAGGAAAATAGCTCTTGTTACAAAGCATATACTCCTTTGATAATGATTTTTCAGTGCTTTACTAGTTGCTTTTTGTATTTAATATTCATATATTCCTAGTTATTTTTTCAGGAAGGACCCAAATGCTGTCAGCATCAACCCATACAAAGTTACAGAAATCAACAATGGCTTGAAATCTTAATCAAAGCATCTTTGGACTCATAACCCTGAGCAATGAAAACAAACATTCATATGAATCAGCATCCACTTCAAACAGGATTTAAACTGATTAGCATAACATTTTCCTTGACGTTTCAATTAATTTATTATTCTTAAATATCTAAATGTAAAAATGATACCATTTGAAGGCATTGGTGAAACTGCTGAAATAGTTTTCTGTTTAACCAAACCTCATATTATCATCCTACACAAATTCAGCTCATTAACCCGAAAACCTGCTGAAAGGACTGCCGATGCTGGACCGCAAACAAAAAACAGAAATTGCTGGAAAATCTCAAGAAGGTCTAGCAACATCTGTGGAGAGAAATCAGTTACCCTTTTGGGTCCATTGACCCTTCTTCAGAACAGTTCTGAAGAAGGGTCACTAGACCCAAAACATTAACTGATTTCTCTCTGCAGATGTTGCAGATCTGCTTGAGTTTTTCCAGCAATTTCTGTAGCTTATTAACCTTTTCTCTTCTACAGCATAAGGTACAACAATGGAATTTGGGAAATAAATTCAATATTATTTAAAGGAAGGATATCATGAACTTCATGGCAAGATATTATAGCAAGGTTCCTTATCACACTTCATTACTTTATCTCATATGTTTTGACAAAGGCTAATTTCCACTATACTAAAGAACAGTGAAATGTGGTCCATGTATTTTCACAACTGTGGTAACTTTTATTGCTACTAAGGCACCAAGTACTTAAAAATGTAGAAATCTCTTCCAGTTGAAGGCTCACTGTACTAGTGTAACTAGTATTGTTATTAGTAAATAGCAATGCAGGTTTTTTTTTAAGATTACTAATACATTCAAGTTGAAATATTCAAGGAATAACTGTCAGGAGGACATATAGCCTGACTCAATCTAAGCCAAGTATTAAGGTTTAATGCTCCATTATCACTTCAGTTTTGGTCATTCCAGCCTTTAGCAGGTTTTCACGGTAAGCACCCTCCCAAAAGAATCACCTTCGGTGTACAATTAATTTCAGTTTTAGACACATTGCTACAAATGTAGAATTTTCTATTAAACTGACTCACCTCCAGCTAAATCTTCTGAAATTAAAACCCCCAATTTGTAGACTTGTTTTAAGTTAACTTGCCAATTAAACAAGCTTTTAGTTGCTTCTGAAAACTGTGAGAAATGATCAAAGAACAAATTTTATTTGGTAAACTTTACTTTTCATGAGACAAGTAACATGAAGTACGTGTATAATATCTATTGCCTGCATAAAGTGAATTAATGGAACAGGCATACTGAATAATTTAGGCATGAGTTCAGTGTTTGACCTTAGCATCAATTATATTGCAATTTATTCAGAGGGCTGTTCAGGGACAAAATACAATAGTAGGCCCCTTCAAAATCTTTGCAAACTTGACTCGGTCCTCCTGGTCTGCCGTGATAACTACTAATCATGGAATTAACGCACTTCAACAATTGAAGGGAAATTTTCTCCCTCCCAAATTTTTATATCATTAATTTCTTCTAAATATGTTTGGTGCACCTGATACCTTTTTGAAAACAGGAGTCTATTTCAGACACAGAATAAGTGGGTATTTGTTGATTTCAAGTTCAATATTTAATATGATAGTATCTAATGTAATCAGGTCCAGTAATGGATATGTCAAAGCTTTTGGTGCAAATTATTATCCATTCTCCAAACCATGTTTATTTAAGAAAATTGATATTTCCTGTGAAACATCAGGATGTAAGTATTCTTCTACTGTTAGATGCAGATGTTCCACTCTGTACTCCTTCTTCTGCTCATAATGATGTCTCAAAGTCAACATTGTTAGGCGATACAATTGCCAAACCATTGGCTAATATTTGGTCAGTGTATGTTCCTTCTGCAGATTTCCTTTTCAAATATATCTGCAAAAATAAAGAAACAGAGCCCCGAAATGGAATTTCTCAATATGTTCTGGCACTTCTCATTATTTCAAGTGAAACAAAGTAACTGTTTTCAAATATCAATAATCCCGAGACACTCACCTTTTGATATATGGAACACATACACCATACCCTCTGGTTAGAACTTTTTCTTAGCTTATTATGTACAGTAATGAATGGGATATTTGAGATATATTCACTCTTCCATGAAGTGTCGTGACTTAGTCAAACCTAAATAGTGATATTCTACTTCCTAGAATGACCAGCCTGTGGGCCCTCTAAATAGCTAATCTTCAACAAATTATGGGGACATCTTGTGACAGGACACTGTTTTTGATCCATTAGGTTTAAAGTTAATTTGAAATCGAGAACTGAATGGAACGTTCAACACAATTCAATTTATTGTGCATTTGACATCACAGTAGCGCTGTGCTTCCATGAAAACATTTATTTGTAGTATGTATAAATTCTGTTAAAAAATTCTGAATAGGAAACATTTTCTTGGTAGAATAGAATGGAATAGCTGTTATTTCAGCAGCAAATAATCTTCAACTTGCTATGACCTAAATCTGCAAATTATGCTGGAATTCTTGCTCACCTAGGTTTTACAAGTCACTGAGACAACAAGGTGCAGGGCTGGATGAACACAGCAGGCCAAGCAGCATCATAGGAGCAGAGAGGCTGACGTTTCGGGCCCAGACCCTTCATCAGAAAAGCACCGGAGGTTGGTGGGGTGGTACGTGAGGACGAGGGGGATTCTTTTTTGGTTTTTATTGCGTGGACGGGGTGTGAGGGATGAGGTGCGGGAGATGTGGGAGACACGGTTGAGGGCGTTCTCGACCACCGAGGAGGGGAAGTTACGGTCCTTGAAAAACGAGGACAACTGAGATGTACGGGAGTGGAATGCCTCATCCTGGGAGCAGATGCGGCGGAGGCGAAGGAATTGGGAATAGGGGATAGCATTTTTGCAGGAAGGTGGGTGGGAGGAGGAGTATTCTAGGTAGCTGTGGGAGTCGGTGGGCTTGAAATGAATATCGGTTTCGAGGTGGTTGCCCGATATGGAGACAGAGAGGTCCAGGAAGGGGAGAGAGGTGTTAGAGATGGTCCAGGTAAATTTAAGGTTGGGGTGGAAGGTGTTAGTGAAGTGTATGAACTGTTCGAGCTCCTCGTGGGAGCACGAGGCGGCACCGATACAGTCATCAATGTAACGGAGGAAGAGGTGGGGTTTAGGGCCGGTGGGTCTGGGCCCGAAACGTCAGCCTCTCTGCTCCTATGATGCTGCTTGGCCTGCTGTGTTCATCCAGCCCTGCACCTTGTTGTCTCGGATTCTCCAGCATCTGCAGTTCCTACTATCTCTGATTCGCTTTTACAAGTCACTGGCTGGATGTTAATATTTATCTGCCATTGTATGGCTTTCTTTTTCTGTTAATATGCAATTCTCAAATGGTTTAGCATCATCGTCAACTTAGTGGATTATCTGACAATTGAGAAGATCATTCATGGATTTAGTGGTTACTTCTGCTTTAGAATCCCTCCTGTGTGGAAACAGGCCATTTTTTTTATTCATTCAGGGGAATGAGGGTGTTGCTGGCTAGGCCAGCATTTATTGCCCATCTCTAATTGCCCAGAGGCCAGTTCAGAGTCAACCACATTGCTGTGGGTCCGGCGTTACATGTAGGCCAGACCAGGTAAGGGTGACAGTCTCCTTCCCTAAAGGGCATTAGTGAACCAAATGGGTTTTTCTGACAATTGGCAATGGATTCATGGTCATCATTAGACTCGTAATTCCAGATATTTTTTGTTCCCTCTGAAGAGCATCCCACCCAGACCCATATCCTATCCCTGTAACCTTGCATTTCCCATGGCTAATGCACCTAACCTACACATTCCTGAACACTATGGGCAATTTAGCATGGCCAACCCACCTAATTTGCACATCTTTGAGCTGTGGGAGGAAACCGAAGAACCCAGCCGAAACCCATACGCACACGGGAGCGTATGCAACTTCCACACAGGCAGTCACCCGAGGGTGGAATCAACCCAGGTCCCTTACGCTGTGAGGCAGCAATGCTAACCACTGAGCCATTATGCTTCCCGTGCCACCACAATCATAAATCTATCACTATCATGTGGTGAGGTGAGGTTCTCAAAGTGATGATTCCCATTTTTGGAAGAATGAACACCAACCAAATGTCAGTGTTCAATTCCACACTGGGAGCTTCATCTCATTAAACAAATCCTGGGATCTATATACAAATAACCCAGCATCAATGGGTTTATCAGTGAATTTGTCCTCCCAGTGCAGAGCTACAATCAAAGAACAAAGAACAAAGAAAATTACAGCACAGGAACAGGCCCTTCAGCCCTCCAAGCCTGCACCGACATGTTGCTCACCACAACTAAAAGCCTCTCCCCTTCCAGGGACCGTATCCCTCTATTCTCATGCTATTCATATATTTGTCAAGAAACCCTTTAAAAGTCACTATCATATCTGCTTCCACTACCTCCCCTGGCAGCGAGTTCCAGGCACCCACCACCCTCTGTGTAAAAAAACTTGCCTCATACATCACCTTTAAACCTTGCCCCTCACACCTTAAACCTATGGTCCTAGTATCTGACTCTTCCACCCTGGGGAAAAAGCTTCTGACTGTTGACTCTGTCCATGCCCTTCATAATCTTGTAGACCACGATCACAGGTCACCTCTCAACCTCCATCGTTCCAGTTAGAACAACACAAGCTTCTCCAACTTCTCCTCACAGCTAATGCCCTCCATACCAGGCAACATCCTAGCATATCTTTTCTGTACGCTCTCCAACCACATGATCATAGATCATAGAATCCCTACAGTGTGGAAACAGGCCCTTTGGCCCAACAAGTCCACACCGACCCTTGGAGCATCCCACCCAGAGCCATCTCCCTATAACCCACCTTATCTACACATCCCTGAACTCTACGGGCAATTTAGCACGGCCAATCCACCTAGCCTTCACATCTTTGGATTGTGGGAGGAAACCGGAGCACCTGGAGGAAACCCACACAGATACGGGAAGAATGTGCAAACTCCACACAGACAGTCACTCAAGGGTAGAATTGAACCCGGGTCCCTGGCGCTGTGAAGCAGCAGTGCTAATCACTGAGCCGCCATTCTGCCCTATCCTCTGGTAGTGTGGCAACCAAAATTGAACACAATATTCCAAATGTGGCCCAACTAAGGTTCTATAAAACTGCAACATTACCTGCCAATTTTTAAACTCAATGCCCTAACTGATGAAGGCAAGCATGCTATATGCCTTGTTGACTATCTTCTCCACCTGCATTGCCACTTTCAGTGTCCTGTGTACCTGTGTACACCCAGATCCCTCTGCCTATCAGTACTCTTAAGGGTTCTGCCATTTACTGTATACTTTCCATCTGGATTAGACCTTCCGAAATGCATTACCTCACATTTTTCCGGATTAAACTCCATCTGCCATCTCTCTGCCCAAGTCGCCAACCGATCTATATCTTGCTGGATCCACTGACAATCCTCATTGCTGTCCGCAATTCAACCAACCTTTGTGTCATCCGCAAATTTACTAATCAAACCAGTTACATTATCTTCCAAATCATTTATATATATTACAAACAGCAAAGGTCCCAACACTGATCCCTGACGAACGACACTACTCACAGCCCTCCATTCAGAAATGCACCCTTCCATTGCTACCGTCTTCTACGACTAAGCCAGTATTTTATCCATCTTGCTAGCTCATCTTTGAGCTTGTACGATTTTTACCTTCTGTATCAGTCTGCCATGAGGGACCTTGTGAAAGGCCTTACTGAAGTCCATGTAGACAACATCCACTGCCTTACCCTCATCAATTATCTTCGTCACTTTCTCAAAAAACTCAATCAAGTTAGTGAGACACGACCTCCCCTTCACAAAACCATGTTGCCTCTCACTAATACACTCATTTATTTCTAAGTGGAAGTAAATCCTGTCTCAAAGAATCCTCTCCAATAATTTCCCTAACACTAATGTAAGGCTCACTGGTGTGTAATTAGCTGGATTATCCCTGCCACACTTCTTAATCAAAAGAACAACGTTGGTTGTTCTCCAATCCTCTCGGATCTCCCCTGTAGCCAGTGAGGATAATAAGATTTCTCTCAAAGCCCCAGCAATTTCCTCCCTTGCCTCTCTCAGTATTCTGTGGTATATCTGATCAGGTACTGGGGACTTGTCTACATTAATGTATTTCAAGACCCCCAATACCTCCTCACTTTTGATCTCAACATGACCCAAACTATATGCACACCCTTCCCCAGACTCATCATCCACCAAGTCCTTCTCTATGGTGAATACTGATGCAAAGTACTCATTTAATACCTTGCCCATTTCCTCTGGCTCCATACATAAATTCCCTTCTCTGTTCTTGCGTGGACCAACCCTCTCCCTGGCTACCCTCTTGTTCTCTATATATATATAAAAAGCCTTGGGATTTTCCTTAATCCTGTTGGCCAATGACTTTTCGTGACCCCTTTTAGACCTTCTGACTCCTTGCTTAAGTTTCTTTTGAATTTCCTTGCTTTGTGTGTACCCAGCCTCCTAGCCTTGACAAATGCTTCCTTTTTTTTTTCGAAAGAAGCGTGGTTTGAAGATTGGACTTCATGAAGTTGGGATCCTCTGGGACCTGCATTTCCTTCAAATACTACGATTCTGGTCTCCCTGCTATAGGAAGAATGCTGTGAAACTGGAAAGGATTCAGAAAAGATATACAAGGATGTTGCCAGGGTTGGAGGGTTTGAGCTATAGCGAGTGGCTGAATAGACTGGGGCTATTTTCCCTGAAGCATCGAAGGCTGAGGGGTGACCTAATACAGGTTTATAAAAATCATGAGGGGCATAGATAGGGTATATGGACAAGGTCTTTTCCCTGGGGTGGGGGAGTTCAAAGCTAGAGGGCATATGTTTAAGGTGAGAGGGGAAAGATTTAAAAAGGGAA